TCCACCAAACTCAGGACGGACTCACCCGGGGGGTTGCCCTCCGTCGCCGGCCGCCGGGCGGGAACACTCGGCGTTGGGGGGGGGGAGGGGGCCCACGACAGCCCCGCCGAACTCAACGAGACGTCCATCGCGCGGGGTCTTTTTTCGTCGTTTTCGCCACGGCCGCCCTTTTCCTCCTCCTCGTCGTCGTCGTCGTCGTCGTCTAAATGGATGAAATAACTCGTCGGCATCGATTGGAGGCTTCGCCGACGCGGCCGAAAGGTCGGCGAGAGCATTTGACTAATCGGTTCATTCCCGGATAGGCCCTCGGGCGGGGAGGAGTTTATCCCGCCCAAATCCCTCCCTTCGCTCGCCTTCGGCGGGGCGGCCTTGAGCCGAATAGTTTGGTTCCCGGTGCTTTTGTGTTCACCTCCGGCGGGTTTGGCCGGCAAGTTGCGTAAGCTCGAGTTCGAAAGCGCCACCTCGGCCTCATTCTCGTCGGTGTCGTCGTCATCGAGGCGAATCCACAACGTCCCGGGCGCCATCGTCGGCCGCGCCGCCGCGGCTTTCGTGATCAATCGCGTCGAAGGACGCCCGCTTTCGTCGTCGGCGTTGGCTTTTTCGTTTTCCCCTCGGGAAAACCCCCCTTTCGCGCTCGTGAGAGCGCCCTCCAGGTCGGAAAACGGCCCCGTCGACGAGGCCACGCCACCCTCCACAGGCCGTGCAAAGCTATTCGGCCCACTTCTTCTACTATTATTGTTAGGTTTATCATTATGATGATTATTAGTATTATTAACAATACTACTACTACTACTATTACCCCACTTCGCCCCTTGGGCGTCAGGCGGGTTGTGGGGGGCGTCGTCGAGTGGGCTGCCGGAGGAAAGTCGCGTGGTGATTGTTGACGGGAGCGAGGGAAAGAACCCCAGGGCCCCATTGTCCCCAATTAAATCGTCGAGCGGCGTTTGATTTGGCCGCCATTCGGCCTCCCTTTCCCACTCCGCCCGGCGCGCGCGGGGGAAGTCGGAGTCGGGTTCGCCAGGGGTCCCCCCCAACTCCGGCGTCCGGGCCCCCGCGCGGAGGAAAAAAAAAGGATCGCCGCCCTCAAAATCCCCGTTTTTCCCCCCCGGGGCCTCTTCGGACGAGCGAATTTTCCCCGACTTTGCCCGATCGGGGGGCGGGGGCCGGAAAGACGGCCCCCTCCTTCCCCCTCCCTTTCCCCCCTCCGCGAAGACAGGGGGGGATTCCACTTTATTGCGGGGGGATTTCGCTGAAGGGAAGTCTCCCCCACCCGCCCGCGTTTTCGCGAAAGACGAGGCGGGACGGCGGCTTTCCGGGGGGGTCGGGCCGGGGTCGCTTCGCCCCTCCTTTGGCCCTGGGAGGAGGGCGGGGGCGCTTTTCGGAGGGGCATTCGTCTGGGATTAAAATGGCGCTCGGGGGCGATTGGAAAGCGGGAAAAGGATAATCCGCGGCTCGGAACAAAAATACCGTAAAGAGGGTTTGTGGATTTTGTTTATTTTATTGTATGGGTTTTATTTATTTATTTTTTGAGGAGGGGGTAGGGGTGGGGGGGTGGGAGTAAAGGAAAGAAGAGATGGAAGGATCCTCTTCACACAGCGTTGCGGAGTAAGGCTTATGTCTACCACGACTCGCCTCTCTACACGTATGGGATGTCTAAAAATGCTTCAAATGGAAACTTGACAAATTCGCTTGAAATAAAGGTGCATAAAAAATCTACTTTTATATTCTATGGATAAACAAATTTCTTTACAGTAGACCTTTTCTACTCCTTGGGGACTACCTAGAGACAACTGCAAGTGTCAGTAGAATAACAGCCCAGGTTGGGGAAGAGTAGTAAAGTGTTTATCCAGAACTCAACAGAAAAAAAAAGTATAATGAGAAAAAAAAGGAGAATTACCTAGATATTTTGGTATTTATTTATTATTTAGGATATGGGGTCATGTTGTAGCTCCTGTTCATTCCTTAATTGATATTCATAGCCTATTTTTGGACTTTCCGTCAGATCGGGTACGAATATTTACAGCAATATAAGCAAAAGTTATTATAGGAACCCCATTTCGTATTGAAAAAATAAAGCATTATCCCCATGAAAATCATTACCCTCTGGCTTATAGATTACATATATGAGATGGAATGCTTTTAAGGAATTCTAAGTAGTTATATCCAGAAATACACTTAATAAAGTATTATCAGGATGGGAATCCAGAAAGAAGGTTTATTAATCTTTTAACTGATACTTTGGTCACTTTTTTAAACTTTTTATTATTCCTCCCAAATTATTGATTTAGCTTATTTTATGTATTGTTAGTCATTCCATTATGATGTCGATGTAATGTATATTTTTATTAACCTGAGCATAAGCAAGATCCGTATTTACTGTATTCAATAATAATCTACAAGACACAATATTTAGTATAGAAGTTTATCAACTTATTTCTATTATTTTCACTAAATTGGGAGTTTGGAAATCAGTTATGTAACATTATATATATATATATATATTAAATAAGCAGAGGGTTAAATGGAGCAATGAAAATAAATCCGAAAAATAGTATACACCTATGCATACTATGCAAAATCAGTCCGCGTGTAGTGTTAATAATTTGCCGATATACACACAGAAGAAATGTAATATAATAAAATGCCATCAAGGTAGCGGCCACACGCACAAAAATAATCGCAATCTAAGAAATTTGTCAATTTGAATTTTTCACAGGTGTGACTTGTTGCGCTTTCATTAGTCGTACTGAATATTTTCAGTTGTATAAAATTCATCAAAACACTGAGTCAGCCACGCCCATTCCACGCCACTCCAAAGCTCCCCAAAAGGGTTCCCAGCATTTCCATTGGCGGCTTCTTGCTGAAGTAGAATGTATTCCTCAAATTTGCCCCAGTTCTCCTTCAGTTCAGATAAATTTTGAACATCTGATAGTTTGCGAAACACTAGCTGCGATGCCGATTCCTCGCATTGCACACCGTTCGCACTGCGTTGATCACTGAATTCGCGCCAGGAGACCTCATTGTTCGCCATTTTTTGATCAGAAAAGTTTACGCGCGCCGCGATGAGCATAACGAGAATAGCCCATGGGAGCTCAAACACATTCGCGATCGTCAGCCGCTCCAACCGCCAGATCGCTTCCACCACGCGCTGTTCTGCTATTGAGTGATCGTTTAATACATCAGAATGCTTCAGCAAGGTAAAAATTTCGTGAGTGAGGGTGATATCGAAGATACCACGGTCATCAGTGTGAAAAGAGATGTTTGGTATGACCGCCGTCATTGGGGCCCCACCCTCACCGTCCATCGATCCCTCTTCGAGTGAAATATCCCTGGTGTGTAGCTTGCGCGCGCGATGAGGACTTAAAAAACGGCGGATACGGCGATTCAACCGCTGCCTTTGAGCGGCCATGTAGCTCCTCCCATCCAAAAGTCCCTCTACAAGTGTAGTTTTCTTGACAAGGGCAGTGTTCCCCGTTTTTTCAGAACGAAGCTCCCGCGCCTGCTCTATCACGGTGGCGAGGTGGTGCTGCCCTACGTCAGCGTGCCCAGAGGATATGATATTGCTAGTGATGCACAGCTCAATCGGGTCGTCAGCCGAAATAATACGCCGCAGGGAGTCGGGGTCGGTGAAAACGAGGTGCCCCCAGCGGTTCGGGTGGTAGTCCACCATCATGGCGAGCTCCACCGGGTCTGGCTTCTCACCACCGTGGAGGGTGACAGCGAGCATCGGCATCAGTGCCCTTTTTATGGCCTCATGCCGCGGCCCACTGCCCTCGGCAACCCCACGCGCGGCGAGCAGAGCGGGGCGAAAGTCCGCAAACGCCCCCTTATAGCAGTTGCCGCCGAAGTCAAGGCCGGTCACCCAGCACGTCGTGCGCAGCCGCCAGGCGATCTGCCGTGTCAACAAAGCCCGGGCCCACGCGGCCCCCTCCGTCTCCTTTGGAAGGGTCCCCGGCCCCGGGCTCGACACGGCCTCCTCCTCCTTATTCGCCTTTTCCACACTACTTCCGTCCTCCCTGTTACACTTCTCCTCCTCTTCCGTGTTATATCCCCTATTATCCCTCTTATCCCGCCTATCCTCAGCAGGGCCCTGGGGGTGGGAGAGCCATCGGTGAAAGCGGCGAAGCTGCGCGTGTTGGATGCGGGCCGCGAGGTCGAGCGCCTGCCAGGACCCCTCGGCCGCCCCCCCCGATTCATCGAAACCAACAACCGCACATGCAGACGATCGCACAGGGCGTGGTGAAGATGATCGAAGAGCCCCACGGCCGAATCCCCGTCCATCGGGGTTTGCCTCACCCCAGGCCGGGATGGACGGACTGGGGCGTAGGGGAGGCCCCCGTAAAGCGCCTTAAAAAAACTCCACCATCGCGCCCGGGGCCCATCCGTCGTAGCCGCACCGCCGGGGGAGCTGGCGTAGTCGAGGATGTCGGACTGGGTGAGGTAGGGGAAGAGTTCGCCGGTTTGGAAGTCGACAACCCCGCCCTGTAGGAGGTGCTCCACGGTGTCGATAACCGTCCACAGGTAGTCCTCCTTGCTGGGTTCCTGCTCCGGATTCTCCGTCTTCGCTTCACGCGTCTCGGCTGGATTTTGTTGAAAAATGCCCCACCGCAGTTTATCCCGCAGTGATGTACGTATCTCCACCACTAATACATTCTCAGCGGCACAATGCCATAAGATGTCTTGCACCGCAAGCCGCGTGAACGCCAAGTTCGTCATAATACTGTAAACTTCGTCAAACATCTTAAAGCACGTGAGCATTCGATCTTTGGGGTTCATACGGTTTAATTTATTAGCGTTGAGCCCCGCATAACCCATCGGTAGGGATGAGGAATTCGGCATGGAAGGCGCCACGCTCGACAATTCGGGTGCGGAGTTTCCCCATGATGGAGGTTCATCTTGGATGGCGCCGCCATTGAGATCGACCACGTTTTCAGAATTGATTTTATTATACGACAGCGTGCTGAGACGCTTCATGTGCGCTAAAATAACAGGTGAAATGCTTCCGTTCAGGTGGAAATGAAGGTCAAGTTTTGGAAGCGCCATAAGAATTTTTTCCAAAGAGCTTTCTGGATTCGAAACGTGGGCCATCTCCTTTGTAATCTGTGCATAGGGGAAATGTTCCACATGGGACTGGTAGCCCTCGTCATGTGAAAATGGAGATGGATGCGTTTCCATACGGCACCACACTTCTTCCAATGTAATATGTATGTGTAATAATAATAATAAAAAGGTACTCTAAAAAAAAATACTATATGCACTTTGATGAATTCTATAGTTTGCAAAAGCAACACAAATTTATATATATATAAAGAGAGGCACACCATGGCCCATTTAAATGCACATATTCCTCATTTAGACACTTACACATCTATATTTGTTGGTCATAGTCGTTTCAATCTGATTCATCTTTACTAGTTACCTCTTCCCAACTGTGTTGAATCTAAAATAAAAAAAACCATCAACAGGAGTCACCTTTACATTATCAACATGTATATATATATATACAGATGCCTTCTCAGACTTTTTCTGCTTTAATTCAAAATTATTTATATATTTTTTTCATTTTTATTTCATATTCTTGACAGCACTGAATTTTACTTCATGCATCAATCCCAACACATTACCTTAACTTCTACTCAATAATTCATTTGACAAAAGAAAACACGCACACGCACACATAAAGGAAGTCCACAAAGGTGATAGTGAAAAAGACAAGGATAAAAAAAAACGAAAGAACAGCAAACCAAAAGAATGAAAGTGTGTTCCATCTGATCCACGCATTTACTGGCCACCTCCACCAACGATATTAAAAACTTGGTTAGACACGAACCACTGCCCATTATCCTGCGCGAGGTGGAAGACGTCGTTAAACTTTAGCGAGTGTCGCTCATCTTTTAAAGAAACCTCACCATTCACGACGACCAGAACGCCGCCTGAGAGCGAGGGCTGACAATTTAGACTATCCGTCTTGAAACTTGCTTCCGCGAAGCCTAGGTTGGCAAATCTCGCGGTGATGGCCTCAACACCCTGCAGCTGCTCATTCTGCCAGGTGAGAAGGGTGGTGGGGCGGTAAATCCCCGCAAGTTGTGCACGCTGATTTGAAAAGAAGGAATAATAATGCTGCACGAACTGTGCCCCAACCTCCTGGAAGGACATGATCTGTGGTAAAAATAATTTAAAAAAGGGGGATAAGTTATATTAGACTATAGTACCGTTATTACTACGAGCTTAGTAATTCAACGGTGCTTGAAAAAATAGTCGGCGTTTATTGTATGTAAATCTTTACAATTTGTGAACTTGAGGTTTGGAATCTTTGTGCTTGGGTATTTCAAACCGATACAGAAAAAAGATAAAGAATTCATTATCCCCTCAACGAGGAAAATATAGAGAAATTTGAAAAAAAAGATCATATTTTTATGGAAGAATAAATTATACTGTAGCCAGATTTTGCTTTTTACAGCTTACCCTGGTACGTGGTGAACCCTGTACAGCTTCAGGAGAAAGAGAAGACCGCTGAGTTTCTACAAATGCCTTTACTCAGCACCTTTAGATTCAGCTTAACCAATAACAACAGACAACCCTTTATTAGGACAGAATGTGCGAATGTTTATCTTTCAGAAGGAAAAAGTCTCACCATCTGTCGGCCTCCATCAGGTTTAGCTTTTTTGACCCTTAGCACGCTTCAGATCTTTGCAAACTGTGGGATTCTTAATGGATGCATTTTTAGTTCCACTCCCATCCTTCTTCTCAGACGGTGATGAGTTATTATTAGGCTCCTTATCGTTGTTGACGTTCTTTTCTTCGTGCTTCTGGGTAGCTAAAAGACGCTGCTGCTGCCCGGAACGCAGCTTTGGATCGGAAAAGCCCTCGATAGAAAACCACCCTCGCGCCTCAGCCTCCGCGAAGGCCTTCGGGAAAGCCGCCTTCTCCCATTTGAGGTAATTCACAATCTGCCGCTGTAGCTGCCGGACGTTGAGTTGAAATGGATTCAGCTTCGGATCTAACGCCATGCGCTTGAGGTCGGTGCCGTACTTGTGAAGTAGGTTGGCAATGGTGCTACCCTCCTGCTCACTCACCGGGCGCCCGATACGATCCCGTCGGGTCTGCTCCTCATGGGCCTTCATTTCGTTTTCTTCCTCAAGCTTCCGCTGTGAATTAGGCTTTATCTTTTTTTTGCGCTCCTCCACGACGCTTTTGGGGGAACTCGGGTCAATGCTGAGGCCGAGTCGTGTAAAGCTTTGGGTGGCCGTGTTGTTTCCTTCAAAGTACTTTTGCGTGAACCGGTTGTTCGAACCGGCCACGTCGACAGCGCGTATATGGGCAAAGCGGCGCTTGAGGTACTGTTTCTTCCCCACGCGTGTGATGGGGATGTTCTTCTTTACTTTCCCTTTCGGTGTTACCTTGACACGTCCCATTGCAATAGTATACTATCAGAAGCTACTATTTACTTTAGTTTATTGCGTTTATAATGATTATTAGTATGATATATCTTATTAGCACTTTACGAGAGGGTGTATGACGGCAACGAATTACCTGTCACCGTAAAAATTAAAATCCCCTTCTAGCAGAATAGTGGTTGGTTTAAGCGACACTTCCTTGTTTCCACACCGAATAACTTCTCACACGGTGCAAAGCGAAATCAAAGTTTCCAAGGAAATTTTATCAGGGAGGAAAGAAAAAAAAGATAGAAACGGAGTAAATCAACACATGACAAGTTACCTTTAGATCACATATCAGGTCATCAACTATCAAGTATGATAAAATAAACAACCAGACAATAAGGAAGGAAAAAAATTATAGAAATTGCGTTTTTTGTTGTTGTTGTTTGTTGAAATGAAAGCGATTTATAAAGGAAAAATCGCAAGGTTCGGTTCGATTTACGTTTCTATAAAGTGTCAAAAATTCAGTTAAATAGTTCAATAAAGACAGTTTCACACACTTTACCACCCACCTAGATGTTAAATTGAGTAATCAATATTTTGATAAGGAAGGTGTTAATTGCATGGAATTTTTTTATGCAATTTACATCTCAATTTGGTTGACAATTAAATCTACTTCATATGTTTATAGTGTCATAACCCCCCCCCCCCTCCCTCCCTCCCCTCATTTGATAATCCAAATACGACAGTCCATATAATAAAGCCATGTGAAGCCTCATGGGGGTTATTCCTAGATTCTCCCTGGGTGTTTACGGTTTGTGCACCATGATCGCAGTGCCAATATCTTAGCTTCCGAAACCCCGAAGTTGCTTGAATTTTCGTCTCTGGTATGAACAAATCATCTCGGCTAACGCGGCTCCGACGAGACCATTGGCGATGAAGGACGGCAAATAAGCCTCCAAGACCTCGGCCCGCCCATTCGCCCCTCTTTCAAGGCGGCCCTTGCACC